TATAGTTGTAAATTGTGAATTGCAGGTTCTACAACATGAATCAGAACATCCCCAGCTTCTGCAACAACATGAGTCAGAACATACTCAGGTTCTACAACAACATGTTTCAGAATATCCCCAGATTCTACAACAACAGGAGTCAGAACTTCACTAGGTTCTACAACAACATGAGTCAGAACATACTCAGGTTCTACAACATGAGTCAGAACATACTCAGGTTCTACAACAACATTTGTCAGAATATCCCCAGATTCTACAACAACAGGAGTCAGAACATCACTAGGTTCTACAACAACATTAGTCAGAATATCCACCACTAGGTTCTACAACAACATGAGTCAGACTATCCACCACTAGGTTCTACAACAAAATGAGTCAGAACATACCCAGGTTCTACAACAAAATGAGTCAGAACATCCCCAGGCTCTACAACATGAGTCAGAGCATCCCCAGATTCTACAACAACATGTGTCAGAACATCACTAGGTTCTACAACAACATGAGTCAGAATATCCACCACTAGGTTCTACAACAAAATGAGTCAGAACATCCCCAGGCTCTACAACATGAGTCAGAGCATCCCCAGGCTCTACAACATGAGTCAGAGCATCCCCAGATTCTACAACAACATGAGTCAGAACATCACTAGGTTCTACAACAACATGAGTCAGAATATCCACCACTAGGTTCTACAACAAAATGAGTCAGAACATACCCAGGTTACAACATGAGTCAGAGCATCCCCAGGCTCTACAACATGAGTCAGAGCATCCCCAGATTCTACAACAACATGAGTCAGAACATCACTAGGTTCTACAACAACATGAGTCAGAATATCCACCACTAGGTTCTACAACAAAATGAGTCAGAACATACCCAGGTTACAACATGAGTCAGAGCATCCCCAGGCTCTACAACATGAGTCAGAGCATCCCCAGATTCTACAACAACATGAGTCAGAACATCATCAGGTTCTACAACAACATGAGTCAGAACATCATTAAGAGGTTCTCAGGGGTTGTCAGGTCATGATAACAGAACTACCGCTTGATGTTAAGTATAATAACAAAACTGTATGACAGGAATGATTTTGAAGCTTTGTGTTTCCAGATGAAGAAGCTCTCTACATGTTTGCTCTGTGTTACAAGAAGAACACCTTTTCAAAATCATCTTCATGTTCATTGGGACAATGGCCTGGTAGTAGACAGGAAAATACTTTTGTCTTTTGTCTGCTTTGGTTGTGTGCAAGCTATTGAATATTGATGAAATAGTGATCAGTAGAATTAATTAAGTAAATTGATCAGAACTCTTTGAATTTATAGTACCTATGAAAACATATATTTGGTGAAAAATATCACTCTTGATAGCTAATGCATTTTTATAGTCTCGGACTGTTATTTAGATGTTTGTTAAAAGGTTGCACCGAATGTGTGCAAACAATCTTTCGTAGAAATGCCTTGTTAACTTTATGTAAAGATATTCATTTGCAATAACTTTGTAAAGTACATGTAGTCGTTTGATAAGGGAAATCTTAAATGGATGAATTTTGGTGCCCCAATAAAAATGGTATAGAGTATAAGATTTCTGCTTGGGGAATTAACATGAATACTGTTATTTCAATACAGGATTTATCATATAAAAAAATTGGAGATTGGTTAACTCATTAGATTTGGAAGATCTTTAAGATATTCAATTAATGGTTCTTACACAGTGAACCTCTGAGATCAACAAGGCGTCTGTTGTTGGTAAACATTGGATTTCTTCTAAAAATTCAAAAATTGAAGTAGCATTAAGCAGTTCTGGTGTTTATTGTATTTTTGACTTTTTGAGGGCTTTCATTTTCATGGGGTTATGGAAATTGTTTTTTCTTGTCAAATTTAACCAGTAATTGCAATATTCATTATGTAGGCATTTTAGTTTATGTGGTGTAATTACCATATTCTCTTAATAAATCCACAGTGTGGTTTCCAAATTGAAATTTAAAAGTGTATGATGTTGAGAAAAATATCGACGATGATCCTTTTAGTTGTGATCACTTAGGTTCTCATACTCTACAGCTACTATTTTTATCTGCATTAAACATGTTGAAAATCATCAATCAATATAATATATCAATCAGTCCTGTTAATCAAAATCAATGTGTTAATATTGAGACAAAATTCAATAAAATAGTCACATTTGCCTCATTGGAATTGTGCGCTCATTAGATAATATGGTATATTGTTTTAGTGAACACCTCTCTTAGTTAGCACCACTTCAGATACATTTCACATCGAATCCTGTATATCATGCCCTCGATAGTTAGAAAATACCTATAGTGGACACTTTTTGTGGCTCAATAGGTGTTCACTATTTACAGGTTTTACTGTATTTGAATTTATTGGAGTATATGTAAATGCGATAGGTCTTTATTTGTGATCGATGTACAATGGACTTGATGTTTCAATACTAAATGCATACATTTTTGGCTTTTGCAAAATATATGTTGTCACTAGTCCACAGTAGGGTGAACTGGAATTAGCCACACCCAAAAATGGAGATAAAGTTTGTTAATGTTCAAGATTGAAGTGAGTCAACAGGTATATGCATAATTATAATACTTTATAAATCGCTTGATAAAATGAATAGTCACATGGGTTGACTTTGAAATGGCATATGTAAATAGTTCTTTGCAATAGAAATAAATAAATTGTACATCAAACTTTCTTGATTAGTTTGTTTGGTCCAGACTTGAATACAGCATCAACTCCAAATACCACAATGTAGTTCAAGGCCAGCTATTATCAGAAACTATAACATTAATTAAAACCTAATCTAATCCCAAATACCTTCGAACACGTAAACTTGAACACATAAGGACCCTAACTCCTAATTGCTATAGCCAATTCACTTTTGAATTTTGAGAATAATGTTTAATTCTAATTATTTGAGAGCCTTTATCGACATGAATTCAAACTGGCAGAAAGGTAAAAGGTCGGGCAATTAATCCGATTCATGAATACCAAGGGATGCTACATCCCGGGTTTAGAGTATTTTGCATTTCGTTCACATTATGGCGCCTCTACCGTCAAAAGTTAAAATAGCACTGGTTTCGAGACTATTTTAGTACGTGTCCACTTGAACCACTTGAAAACGTGTTCAGAATGGTGAGAAACTGCATGGTTTTGAAAGAGTTTTTGCAATGGTAGAGGGTCCTGGCTACGGGCCTGTTAATGGTAGATCCAAACTGATAACATGGTCATATGGGTGTCCTATATCCATAAATACTCTGATAGGACGCCGTGCCCCGGGGTTTTCCGATCGTTTCGTTCAGTAAATAGCACTGGTTGCGAGACTATTCTAGCACGGGTTTCGAGAGCTATTGGCACGGGTTTCGAGAGCTAACAGCACGGGTGCTAAAAACCGGGTCCTGTCAATGTTTGCCATCGACCCTTTCTCAAGTATTTGGATAACTCGCTACTTTTGGCGAATGGGAAAATTAATATGTAAAAATCAATATGAAACGTAATGTCGACCATTGACCGGAGATCAGATTAACCTTCTACAAAAAAGATGACGCATTTACAAAACAAAGGAGATTTCAACAAAACGCTCGATGAGCAACATACTGTATGTAGTCTAATGCGACATTAAGTTAATTGTGTACGCTCTAATACACCCTTGGTATACGCAGCTAACGAAAATTGACCGGCACGGGTCAAAAGCTGGACCGGCACGGGTTAACGGTTTTATTTGAATTTAAAATAGCCATAACTTGCTCAATAATGACTTCCTCGTGTCTAATTTGAAATATATTGTGCCTCCCGACCGATGCTTTTAAGTACCCCAATTTTTTACAGATTTTTAAACGGACCAAAACTCTCTAAATGCACATTTATGCTCTTTTCTCTCGAGAACGGCTGTCTCATTTTCACGATAACTTTTATTTAGTACTTCTAACATATAAGATCTATTTTTCCCCATCAAGGTATGATGTAAATGACATGCTATTTACATCTTGTGAGTTTCAATGACGCGCGTTTGATTTTATAAAAAATGCCAAACTTTGTGACAAAGAATTTCATCCTGCTTGCAGTGAGAAGACGGACCGGTTCGGGGCAATCTGCTTGCAGAGAGAAGACGGACCGGTTCGGGGCAATAGCTGATGAAATTCTTTGTCACAAAGTTTGGCATTTTTTATAAAATCAAACGCGCGTCATTGAAACTCACAATATGTAAATAGCATGTCATTTACATCATACCTTGATGGGGGAAAATAGATCTTATATGTTAGAAGTACTAAATTAAAGTTATCGTGAAAATGAGACGGTCGTTCTCGAGAGAAAAGAGCATAAATGCGCATTTAGAGAGTTTTGGTCCGTTTAAAAATCTGTAAAAAATTGGGGTACTTAACAGCATCGGGACGCATCATATATTTCAAATTAGACACGAGGAAGTCAATATTGAGCAAGTTATGGCTGTTTTAAATTCAAATAAAACCGTTAACCCGTGCCGGTCCAGCTTTTGACCCGTGCCGGTCAATTTTCGTTAGCTGCGTATACCAAGGGTGTAATATGAAAATGTCCTTTCACAGTATCACAGTTCGTAACCAGGGCGAGGGATCCATATCACGTGCTGCATTTATCCAATCACAGACTTCAGTATTGTTGTATTGGTCAAAATCTCGCCGGGAAGAATCAGTTTGTTGTTGTGGTGGTTTTATTGTTATATTTCATTGTTTTCAGCCGATTAAAGCTGAATAAATCCATTGAGAAAAAATTCATTACCAATATAATACAAAACAAAATACGTGTATAGTTGTATTGTGCATACATGTTTGTTGAAACCGATCGTTTTAATCACATATACATATGAACTACGTTTTTTAGAAAAACATAATACCTCCTATTCAACGTGTTGCAATTAATTTAGCAATAACCCTAACAATGTAAAATGATTTGATGATTCGAATTTTTGTTTTATTGTGTATATGATAAATATATATTAAAGTTGCACAAATAGTTTTAACTCACTTGACAACATTCAAACTAACGAAAATGTAAGTAGAAATTTATTGTCTCATCGTCGAGGTATGTTTATATAACTTGTAAACGGTGTCAGATTCTGACATTTTCAACTGGTTATCTTTTGCTGTTCGCCTTAGTTCAAGTTTTTAAGCAATTTATGAGATCTATTAACTTTATCGCTGCAAAAGAAACTAAAACTGAAACAAGGACGTTATCATTAAACCAATTTTTGATTACAGTTTCTGTTGATTGAACTGCAATAATGAAGGCAATCGATTAAATAGATTATTATTGGCCCACCCTGTAGTATGCATTTGGCAGTTTAGGCAAAACCAGGAATAAATGTCTTACTTTTGGTAAGACAGAAAACCCCTGTTTCTCTCAGGAAGAAAACATTCATATAATGGTAAAATGATTATTTGTAAAAAAGATAAATAGATAGAAGCAAGACAGTCTCATTTGGATAATATGGCTTATCTGACCTCAGTTTTTTCAAAACTGGCATAATATGTCTCAAAACCTATTGTGGATAAATATCGTTCAGAAGTTAGAAATTAATACAAAAAACATAGATGGGTGAAAGGAATAAATTTGTCGCTTAATCCAAAGGGATATATTAAAAATTGGACCAGAGAGTAGAAATGATTTATAGGATATCCTATGATTTTGAGGAATATCATTTTTATCTACGAGGTGGTATTGATATCTGCACGAGAGAGCGAAGCGAACGAGTGCATATATCAATATCACCGAGTAGATTAAAATGATATTCTGAAAAAAATCATAGGATGTTCTTATTATCCTACACTTACAAGGAGTGTACTAAATGTATAATATCATTGCAAAATGAATTTCATGCCAAATAGAGTCAATTTGGCGGGAAATCAACAAGCGGAGTATATCGTCACAATATCCTCCGCATATTGGGTTTTCCGGAGTATATCGTCACGATATCCTCCGCCCGGAGTATATCGTCACGATATCCTCCGGATATTCATTTTGCCCATAAATATCAAATTTATTTTTTAATGTTATTATACATTTAGTACACTAAGTGTAGGATAAATCATAATACCAACATTTAAATGTTTCAAAACATACAGTATCTAGAAGAAAGGTTTAAATAAAAAAGAAATTGAGAATTGGCATTTTTGGGAACATATATGAAAACAAAGCAGGCGATGTTGCAGGATACAAACTTAATTGACGAACACCTGGTACATAATATGGGGAATGGAAACATGTAACTTATTCTAAATAAATGATAAATGGTATTTGGGGTTAAGCTTATGTCAACTCCTATATTCTATATTTTTTGTGGTTAAATAGCATTTCTCAAAAATAAGAAAAATTTAATCTTCACTAAGTATATAACAAAAATCATAATTAACAATTTTCTTTATTTAACTTCAGAGTGATGTTGTTGGTGCAACTAACGGGACTAGCTGTCCTGATAAGCAGCGCATATACCGGGAGGTCGTCTCAAACCCGTTATATACCTCCTGGGCAGGAGTACACCGGTCCGTGTATCGGAGGATATAAAACGTACAGTAGAAAAGACTGTGTGGATACTTATGAGAAACTTAACAAACAAAACGCATACAAAGGTAAGTACAAACAGGTAGCCGCTTTAAAGTGTGTGCGAAACTATATAGAGTGCGCCGATGTCCGTACTCGGCGACTATGAATAGGCTCAACCAAAGTTTGGCTCCGATATGTGTGTGTCATCTTTTGAGTTGGATCCCACCGGCGGAATTTTTTGATCAGACTTGATATCTGCCCCCTTGTTGGTTCCCAGATCCGCCCCTTAATCCCGCCTATGACATTTATGGTTGAAAAATAGGGATTGAAACCAGCCATAGTTTTCTCCTGATGATGATATTAATATTCATTGAAGTGAAATGTATGTTTCATATATTAGAATCTTACAAAGCACCAATGTGAATGTACGAGCTGGAGAGCTTGGATATTAATGCCGTTTAGAACGCATGGGTAAGAGGGCAAACACGACTTTGGTACAGATCTAAGACACCTAAAACCAATTTCAAACATGTTCCTTTACGTTCTACTGTACCTTGAAATCGAAAGGGTAACCAATGTGAATGTCAGCTAAATTAATTGTTTTTGAAGTTTGGTAAATCATCTCATTATGTCCGAAGCAGGAATACATATCATTACCGCAAATCTGATATATAAAATAGTTTCAGGATAAAAATTCAAGCTGACGTATTTTTCATAAAGAATATAGTACCAAACCACGAAACATACTAAAAGCAATTTATATTTAACCTATCAATGACATCTCAATAAAGAGTTAACCAAAGCGAACCTAAAGTTGACATACCAATTGCACTTTACTTTAAATGTGAATGAGCCCAAGCTTCAGAAAGCGAATCTTTTGCATTTGAATATTGCCTAAAACGAATGTGGTTTTTACATAAGGAAACACCCAAAGTGAACCTAAAATTCGAATCTAGTCATTGGTAAAACTTTTACCTAAAGTGATCCTACTGATCAACTGTGTAGCCCTCAACGTTTTATGCCTGATGTTAACGTTCATTGTTGGTTGATGTAGGATTGAGCATACAGCAGTATGCATGGCAGTGTGATCATATGTTCAAATGGTCGGCTAGCGCGGCGAACAAGACAGGAGCTGGGTCAGGTTTCACAAGTAGCCAGTCGAATTGGCTAAAAGGACTTTTAAACCATCTAGTAGATGCATTAAAAGGATCCAAGGTAATATATTACAGGAGGAATATTACATTATGAACGCTTTAGTAAAGAATAAATAAAATTATTATATCACCACGGTGTTATAGCATGACGGTTACGTCACCTCTGAAAACGAGGTTGGCACTACGTTCACTGATTTATCCAATAAAATGGCCGCTATGGAACAGAAAACTAAGGTTGGTGCATTATTTTCTGCTACTGTGTATCAATGAAAGGATGACCGATTTATGTAAGCATCGCATTCGGTGATGGATTTAGTAATGTATATTTTGAACGTAGTCTTTGCAAATTGATGCCCGGGGATAACATGAAATAAGCGAAAAACTGTTGAGTTTGAAATTCAAAACTACACAAAATTTAGTAATTTGTTTATTTTTGTCGTGAGGGTATGGTCTACAATTCCTAACGACCTCGGGGTATATAGATGTAACCTGCATACGATCATAAAAAGCCAATTGAGCGTTGGAAACCACCTAATATGTTCTACTCAAGCAATAACAAATGTACTTTGAATTAGCGGTTACGGAAAAAATTGATGGGCGGTTACGCGAACCTCGTTCAAATATGTATCCCCGATTCATTGTTATTAATTTTGTCGTATTCATTAGTACTTGATGCTAATTCTTCTTTTGCCTCTTCATTGCTATCATTTTGTCTTTCATTGGTTTCATAAATAAAGCAAGACACACTTTTTTCCTTGCCCTATAGAGGCTCAAACAAGAGCATCTCTCGCGAGTCCTGAAAACAAAAATATAAGCAATTCAATATTTCATTTCTTACCCATTTTAACAATGACTTGAAAGGTGTACATGCACGTATAACACCGTGATCACTATCTAGCTAGTAACTGTATGAATGGTCAAAACTAGGTCACATGTCATGGAATCTCTGACGGTTATTTCAATGGCCTTGCTTATCAGATAAGTAACACAAAAATTAGCTAAACGTTCGATTAAAGTCTTTGTTGACTGGATGAAAGTGGGAACGATATAGACTTGAGAAATGTGCAAAGGCATGAACTGAATACAAAGTTATTAGTGTTTGTTAAGTAAGAAATCTATTTAAAACAAAATACTATGTTTTTATATATACCAGAACTTGTCTGAGGTATGTCTGTTTCGAATGTTTGAATGAATGGAGGTGGTGTGAAAGTGGTTTAATATTTTATCTTTGCCTTGTTAAATGTATTATTTCATGTTTGATTCAATAAAAAAAGAAATCAAGACTAGACATGGATCATTGTAGAGCCATACACGATGTCGAATGTCATGGAATAGACCTTAAAGTGACAGACAGTAACAAATATTTACTCTACTTTCAGTACATACCTGTGATACTTTCACAAGATGATATTCCACTAGCCATCCGGTCTTCGTGGAATATCACTTGTGAAAGATGTACAGGTATTCATTCACCTCAATAGAGTGAAATTATTGTTCAATACCTTTCCAAAAACTATGGCAATTAATTACACGACCCGATGTATCATGGCCATAATATCACGACGATTCTTTTGTCATCACAATAACTGGATCTGGCTTTTTTTATTTTGCTGGAATATGTATGGCTGGTTACTTTCATTATAGACAAGTATATAAGCATGTTGCAATGTCATGCTTTTATATCGTAACCAAGATCTCAATTCTATGATGAATGACCTCATTTTATCTTGGCCATTGTCAAATGGCTGCGCAAGTTTTGTTCTTCACAGATTTTTGTTCTTCACTGTGATTTCATCACAGACAATTACAAATTCTCTCCTTATTGCATCCTGATAGCCATCGAGAAAATGCCATGAATTTTCAATTGGTACACGGAAAGAATATCGCGTAGCAACAGCGTCTGAACGGGCGGAATTCCACGAAGCCATCAACCTGCTTAAGGCGGATATGCTTCCGGGACCGCTTGGTACCACCAACAAGTACGACACATTAGTTTCGTTTCACCATGGATCTGTCGCTTTGGGGGCACATGGCGGAGCAGCTTTTCTACCCTGGCATAGGATCTATTTGATAATGTATGTATTTTTCATTTTGTATCCGATCATTCAAATTAAAGAGCGTTGCTAAAGTTATCGAGTGTAATGGTGATAGCAAATCGACTACTCATTTATTTATGGCCGAAATGTGCGTTTAGTTTAAAGCAATTTTGGACAATGAGCTTTCTTAAATGCAGACGCATATCATCTTAAGTATGTTTGGTAAAAGTCTGAAGTTCATTTTTATCACCAGCTTCCTGTTAAAATCGTTTCACCACGAGAAGGAAATAAGCGGTCCATGGAACCTAGATTATATTTTCATGTAATATATTAACCTCCACTATTTGCCTATGACTGATCTACGTCATGCTATATCATGCTCACTAATTGGTCGAATAATGTGTATTGTTCATATCACTTACACACATAAAGAGGATTGCAATTTTGAATGAATCGTTAATACATTTGCTTAACAGGATTGAAATTGCATTGAAGCAAAAAAGGTCGGGTGTTTCTTTACTTTATTGGGATTCAACCATTGAACAAGGTTTACCGAATCCTCTTCTGTCCAATCTATGGGGGCCGACAATGTTGGGAAATGGTGATGGTGATGTAACAACGGGACCTTTTGCCAACTGGACCGCCACTGATGGTAGAAAACTTACACGCGCTGCTCAAACCATCCCAAATGAACTCACTACACCAGCTGATATCCAGACAATTTTGGACAAAACAAGATATGATGAAATAGCATGCGGCTCATTTGAGTGCATGCTGTTGGAGAATATACATGGAAAAGCCCATAACTATGTTGGTGGACACATGGGAGATATCTTTTTCTCACCCAATGACCCAATTTTCTGGATGCATCATACCTATGTTGACTGTATCTGGGAGGAATTCAGACAAAACAGCCAGGAAACAAATGTTGCTACCGAGTACCCGGGTAGCTTTGGACAACCACCCCATCATCCAGAAGCGTTGATGGCGCCATTTAATGACTGGGTCGCATCTGTCAAAAACATTGAAGGGTTGAATACGTTTATTACATCAGCCTGTTATAAGTGCGATCGGCGTCCGAGATGTCCTGATTGCAGCAACACTCCTAATTTGTATTGTGACAGGTCTGACAACCGATGTAAGCCATATATAAATCCAAATGACTGCGGAGAAGGTACGGCACTAGTCCCTGCAGTGATCTATTGCGACAAACCTGTATATGGGAACAAAAATTACGGGGTGAACGGAGTCTATCTTGAAACCGAAGGTGTAAGTTATAAAGGGCGGAACCAGGTTTACTACTTTGGTGATTACTATAATTACTATAACATACCACGATCATCGAACCCTTCAAATTATAGGCCAAAATATGCTGGGTATTTTCCAACTCGTCGCCCAAGAACGAAGTACTCTGCGGCAGGTCGTAAAAAGAGACAAACGGCAAGTGTGCAATATCGACCAAAAGCTTACACATCAGATGGACGCCAATGCAAAATTGAATGTTTCAAAGGATACAGGGGACAGACTCCTACGTATGGTGCTTGCCCCAACAGCATTTACATCAGAGGTACACACTTTGTTTTATATTTTATGTTAGTCACACCATATACCTGTAATGACCTTCGATAGCAAGTCGCTGCTTCAGTCTCTGCTGTAGTGGCTAGCCTTTATGGCTCTGGGGTAGAGCGTCTAACTTTGAGAGTGGAAGGTCCTGGGTTCGATTCCCGTACGGGGCATTGAATTTAGCACATTCTCTTTCGAGTCTAGTATCTGGCTCGGTACACTACAGCTCCCCGACGAGCGTGCCCAAGGGTCGCTACATTGGTGTCAGAAGTGGGATTGCCCTTGTGAATCAGTTACGACGGGACGTCATCTTCTAGGGGGGGGAGGTGTAATTACCTTCAATAGCAAGTCGCTACTACAGTCTCAGCTGTAGTGGCTAGCATTTATGGCTCAGGGGTAGAGTGTCTGACTCTGAGAGCGTACGGAGCATTCTCTTTCGAGTCTAGTATCTTGCTCGGTACACTACAGCTCCCCGACGAGCGTGCCCAAGGGTCGTTACATACCCATGAGAATAACAACATAGTATTCAAACATTTACGATATCCAATTGTGCCTTCTGGGTACTGAAAACCCAGTTTATGTATCACTTGACTTTAAAAAATATATTTGTATAGGTTTGAATGCAATTTTAGAGAATGCTGCGACGAAACTTCAAAGAGGGAAACGGGCAGTTGATGACCAATCGTCTTTTATTGATGATATTGATAGTGCTTTTGACCTACCAGAACCACGTTCCGATGGATTGTCTGGCCAACGACCCGCAGAATACTTCCAGGTCAAATGTCCATGCGACTTTCAACAATACACATACTGTCCAACTTATAAACCCGGTGATGAAACTAAAGGTAGTTTTGAATACATATTTTTCACAAATAAACATTTATATATTGTGTGTCAATCAATACCGTGGTTTTCAGAGTACGTATTGTCAAGATATATCTTATTCCCTTGTATTTCCAATGGATTGAGATTACTCAAATTTTTATTTTGACTCCAAAGACAGCCCAAAAAGGGCGACATTGGAGCTTACAACACTAATTAAAACACCCTAGTTAAAGCAGTGCAATTTCGTATTAATTGTTACGTCACCGTCCTGATCATTAAATGTAAACTTACATTATTTGTTTGTGGTATTGTAGTACAAGGCTGTAGATGGAGCGCTTGGTCAAAATGGACTTCATACAGCACATGTTCTGTATCATGTGGAAGTGGTTTCAAGTCTAAGATACGTAGTAGGACTAAACAATTCAGTAATGCATATACTGGCAGTTGTGAAGGAAAGTCTGTAGAGACATCTACATTTGGATGTTCCAATCCTCCAGGCCCAGGTTGTAACGGACCTCTAGGTAATATATTTAATTGAGTTACTTGAGAAATACAGACCAAAGGGCAGGTGTTATATCGACGTATACATACTACAGGGCTAGGCACAAACGTTCTCTGTACCCCGAACGCCCGAAAGGAGTGGGGGAGGGGGTTCGAAAGCTATATTGTGCTTAGCCCTGAGAGGTGTATTCGTCGATATTACACGTGCTCTGAGATCTACATTACGATTCGAACATTCATTACGACGGCCTGCCGTTACAACGTCACATATTACTCGTATTACCAGGGGTAGTGTTGACGAATATACCCCGATTGAAATTTTGAATTTGTTCACAGATTATAGAATAGGTGAATACAGTCCTGTTCGAATCTACAATTGTAAAGTTTCTAAATAGCTGAATAACGATGACATAATAGATGTCACCCTTGTTTGTCTTTGATTTTCATGGGCCACACCTCCATTCAGTTCATGCTAGAAACTTGCAATAGTCACTTAATTTCATGATTTGTCAAAAAGTGTTGGTTGAATCTGTCTGAAACCCGAATGGCATACTATCGGATGATACTGTTAATGTACATATTGTGATTAAACATGAAAATGTTGGTTGTCATACGAATAAGCCAAGGTTTTGATGAATCTTAGCATTGCACCAATTGGAGATTTGGCCGAAGTTTTTTTAAATGTCATGGAAAATGATTAAAGATTCTCGCAATCTTTATCCAATCAGCGTTTGCGAGTGTGTCGGCTCGCGTATAAAAGGCGAATCCAACTCAAATCCATGCAGGGGTGTATGAGGTACTCGAATAGGAAAGAGCTCATGAAATCTGAATTTATATGCACATGGTCAATGTTTACACATGTTTGGAGTTATTGAAGAAAATGTGATATGGGTGTGGTTCCGAATTTGAAGTCATTGTTGGAAAATATGATTTTAATACGTGAAATTATATCTATAAATATAGCACTAAAAATAACAGTACGCATGAAGTACATGTGTGATTGTGTTCAGAAATGTTTGAAACCCTTACGGAAAATTCTGTCTGCATTTTGTCACCATTGCTCTTTCTTCCCGCATTCTAGTGCTGTTTGAATGAATATATTAATTAATGTATTTCTAACTAAAACATATCACTTTTTTTTATAAACCACAAACATTTAGATCTTTAAAAAAATTATTCATTACTTGAGTGAGCACGATATTCAAGGGTTACTAAGTTGACACAGTAAATGACCACTGATATTGTGTTAGTCCATGCACACAGCGTACACCCCTAACTTTCATAGTGAAGTGACCAATTGGTTAATTATGTTTACGTTTTAATGTGTTTTGGGTTCCTTGTTACAGCAAGGGGGGCCAGTTAAGTAGACTAACATGTTTGCATGGCAAATTTTGATCGAATATGTGAGACACTTTAAATTACACAACTGTGTAAATCAAACTAAATTATTGGAGAAAACTTGTCACTGAATTCAAATATGCTATCAAAAATAAAGAAAAGTAAGTCATTAGAGGTTAAAAGTGCAAATCTCTAAAAATCTCATGAAAAGACGAGATTTAGCGAGATTTTAAAGCTATTTAGAAACTACTCTATTGTGTTGACCCCTATCAGTGTTATCTTCATATTGAAATTATGATTTATCCTCACATTTTTATGCTCATCCATAAATCTAATTTTTCAATGAGTAGATATTTACTTATTTCGGAATGCTTTTCGAAAATTTTCTCCAATGTGCTATATAATCGCCTTAATGCATTTGTCAAATCAAATAATATCATTTCACAAGACCCGGCAGGTTTTATGAAGAAAGCAAGAACGACCGACCATATATTTATAATTCGGTCTCTTTATTTACAAACATGTTCATCAAATAAAATTAAATATAAAATTTAAAAAAATATCTATAGCGATCGTGTGCTACTTTGATTTTGCCAAACTTGCCATCAGGGTGTAAGTGGAGCCCTTGGATGTGGAGCGGATACACCGAATGTTCAGTAACGTGTTGTACTGGGACAAAAAGTAGAGTCCGCACCAGGGTCAGATTACCAGCAGCCTCGGGCAGATGTTTAGGCAACTCACAAGAGACCTTTACCGAAAAATGTGACAACCCTTGTGGTAAGTTCTTAACATTTTATTTACGAAATTACTCTCACCTTTATAAAATAAATGCAACATACATGTATGTATGTATTATCATTGTATATCGTTCCAGGCTGTACATACAACCGACGATTTTATGCAGAGGGAATCTCATTCCCGTCAACTGATAGATGCAACAAGTGTATGTGCAAATGCGGAAACGTTCTCTGCACTGAGAAATTATGTAATTAGTTTTTTGTGGTAGTATCAGTTCATAGTTATATATCATAATGTAACATTGGGGAGGTTAAGCTACAAGTTTTAATAGATCTTGTACGTGATCATGTAATACTTATTATGACCACCAGGGATTACTGTCCTCTCCTTAATTGGTTTTTCCAATGCCCTAATTAGAACTATTTTCCATATACTTCTTTATTCTGATTCTAACAGTTTGCCGTCAGGGAGCCTAGTTAGTACAATTAAATGATAATTTAATTAGCCTTGTTAAAGGGATATGTTTCATAAATTACTAAGAAACATCCCTTAATTAGCTTAATTAAGCTAATTATCTATTGATTCTTATTAAATAAATTAAAGTGGGGCATACGCCCTAAATATATTTTTTTTGGCTTACCTTATTATGTTCAATTGTTATCTATTTTACCCTATATTTCTTGGTCCAAGGGTGGGTTGTGGGTTGTTTTCAGTAGTCATACTTCTTTGAAGTTCAGTGTAATAATGAGGTCCCAGTTACCTCGTGACCTTGACATCAGTCACGTGATCTTTGTCCAGGGGATGGATCATTCTTACCTCATTTATTCTTTACTTTCATATGTTCTACTCCCTTCAACAAACTGTTTATAATTTTATAAATCCAATTATTGCATAATTAATATATATTCGATAGGACAAGCAATTACAACCAAGGGGAAAAGTAATTTCTAGATAACGACGTTTATCAATTATTCGATTATTCAATGATTACGGCATAAATAATGTAACTATATATACAGGGTGGTTCAAAAAAATTGGAACATTTGTTAATTGGACACAAAACCTTTCCTCTAAAATGCACCAAAATATCACTGAGTATAGTTCAGTCACTTATCTCTCTGATGTAAAGTTTATAGGTGCAAACCAAAAGTTAATGCATTGAACTAGTCAATGTTTGATATGATCCCCTTTTCTTAAATATACACTTGTCAATTTCGCAGCTACTTTTCAAGTATTCTTTATTTCAAAGCTTTAATGAACATGTTGATTCGTTGCTATACACATTTTATAAAATCATATTTAGTTGACATGAGGTATTAACATCCATGGTTTACTGGAAAACTATTGTGTTATTGTCAACTTAAGAATACCCCAAATCATTATTTTTATTTAAGAGTAGGAAAAAAGAACATGTCAGAGATGAGTGATTGCATAACCCATACAGCAAATCATTGTTTCCACTTTTCAGTAGAGGGGAAACTGACTAGTTATTTACAAGGCTTTATTAAAGACCACCTCTAAGCACATAATATAATATATCATTTGTGTTTTGGGAAACTCCTTTATGATATTGATATACATATATTGATATATTCAATGAATATTATTCATACTATTACAAGAAAGGGGAGGGGTTTCATTTACCAGTCAAAACAGACTGCCTTGGCCTCTTTCTGGAGAGTATTCAATCAGTAATATATCCAACAGTAGCCATCAAAATATGCTCGATACCCATCAATTTGGGTAAAAAATGTTGAATGTGTTCATATATTTGATCTTCAAAAGCAAACATATAAGTAGTTTGTTCAAGCAGAATTTTTAATCAAGATGGCTTGGACAAAATCAAACGAACAGCAAAGTGAATGAATCATTTCAAAACTGAGTCCCAGGCTTCAACTTGTAATTCAGGAGAAAAGGGGTCATATCAACGATTCTCTAATTTAATGCATTAACTTTGTTGTTTGCACCTATAAACTTTACATCAGATAAATAAGTGATTGAACAATACTCAGTAAAATTTTGGTGCATTTTAGAGAAAAAATAACGATTTTGAGTTCAATTATCAAATGTTCCAATTTTTTGGACCACCCTGTATATATCAATATTCAGATTCTTGATAAAGCTGATAGGATAACCGGTGAAACGTCGGAAATAAATTACATTATTCTCTGAAGTAGATGAACTTTTGTTGATATAAACAATTCTATACGCTCATGAACAAGTTCTATTAAAACGTGTAACTAAACCTCCCTATTGCACACGTCTTCAGGCTGTACGTACAAGGGGCGATTTTATGCGGAAGGAAGCTCAATCCCATCAACTGATGAATGCAACACGTGTTCGTGTAGAGGCGGAAAGGTTGTCTGCACAAAGAAACAATGTGGTTGGTTCTTTTGTGTGCTTAATATTTACTTATTGGTTATATATATAAATATCAATTCTATCACATGATAACTATAATTGGAGTAACAATATGATAGCGTGGTTACCGATTAGGGAAATGTAAAAAAATGATTATGCCTTGTTACCCTTGTATGTTTGTGGTGCTAATAGGTTGTAGATGGAACAGGTGGAGTCGTTGGAGTTCATACAGTAGTTGCTCTGTAACTTGCGATGATGGTAAACAGATTAAATCACGCACCAGGACTACACGACCTTCACGTAATGGGAAATGTCTCGGCAATTCGCAAGACATACGATCTAGAAAATGCACCAACCCTCCATGCGGTAATAATATAGTTTCTAAATAGCTGAAAAGTGCTGATATAATAGATGTCACCCTTGTTTGACTTTGATTTTCTAGGGCCAGACCTCCACTCACTCCAATGTAAGAAACTTGAAACAGTCACATAATTTCATGAGTTATCAAAGAGTGTTGGTTGAATCTGTCCGAAACTTGAATGGCATACTATTGGATGACCCTGCATGATTAACCATGAAAATATTGGTTGTCTTACGAATAACCCAAGGTTTTAATAAATTTCAGCATTGCACCAATGGAGATTTGGCCCAAGTTTTCTTTTAATGTCATGGAAAGTGATTTAAATGACCTGTTTAAATCAAAGCTAAAATTGGAGAAAATTTGTCACTGAATCCAAATATGCTATCAAAAATAAAGAAAAGTAATTCATTAGAGGAAAAAGTGCAAATCTCTTATAATCTCATGTAAAAACGAGATTTAACGAGATTTCAAAGCTATTTAGAAACTCCTCTATTGGCTCATCCATTTATATAGCGACCCTTGTTTATCACTTTGGGGACATTTTGAAGCCGTGCATAGATTTTTGAAATACCGGAGTCCCTTGTATGGCTTTTTGGTGTCCTCTCATCTTTTTGAAACCTTTTGTAGCATTTGGGTCTTCGGGTCACCAATGGTCCTGTTAATCTGGGGGTATCATTGGGGGGGGGGGGGTCAGTCACCTGTATGGCTTTTTGGGTGATTGGGGCCTTTGTTAACAAAAGAGGTCAAATTAACTACATGTTCCAAATCAGAATTCTAGAAAACTTTCGACATCACAAATATATCAAAAATGAGCCTGGGCACAGAAAAGGGGTCTTTTAACAGATATATTTCTATTATCTTAAAAGTACAAAGAAACTTTTTAAATGAGCCATGTCTTTTGACCAAGATGACAGATCTAAAATGATGGATGCGAATTTAGCACAGTTCCTTCTTAATTTTGGGTATATTTGTGCTCTGTGGGCTCAAATACAGAAAAACAACTCGACACCGAAATGAGCCAAATATTTATTTAATATATATTAATTATAACTTGTTACTCGTCGGAAGTAATTATTTTGTTTTTTTCATTTAATAATGCCGGGGTGGGATGCATCTATTACAACAATGATAGATTTTACGAGTAAAATGATGAGAAAATGTATTGGCTGCTAGTCATTGACTATGACCCATATCAGTGTTGTCTTCATATTGAAATTCATTTCCTTTTACATTTTCACTGGACCTATGGTGATCGTGTGCTACTTTTATTTTGCCAAACTTGTAATCAGGGTGTAAGTGGAGCCCTTGGGTGTGGAGCGCATATACCAACTGTTCAGTCACGTGTGATATCGGCACAAAAAGTAGAGTCCGCACCAGGGTCAGATTACCAGCAGCCTCAGGCAGATGTGCAGGCAACTCACAAGAGACCTTTACCGAAAAGTGTCATAACCCACCTTGTGGTAAGTTCTTCAAACGTTTTTCAAGAAATTGCTATTGCCTTAATAGAATAAATGTTGCGTTCATACTATTATCATTGTATATCGTTCCAGGGTTTACGCACAGTTCCTTCTTAATATTGGGTATATTTGTGCTCTGTGGGCTCAAATACAGAAACACAACTCGACACCGAAATGAGCCAAATATTTATTTAATATATATCAATTATTACTAGTTACTCGTCGGAAGTAATTATTTTGTTTTTTCATTTAATAATGCAGGGGTGGGATGCATATTACAACAATGATAGATTTTACGAGTAAAATGATGAGAAAATGTATTGGCTAGTCATTGACTATGACCCATATCAGTGTTGTCTTCATATTGAAATTATGATTTATCCACACATTTTTATGCTCATCCATAAATCTAATTTTTCAATGAGTAGATATTTTATATGATGAGAAAATGTATTGGCTAGTCATTGACTATGACCCATATCAGTGTTGTCTTCATATTGAAATTCATTTCCTTTTACATTTTCACTGGACCTATGGTGATCGTGTGCTACTTTTATTTTGCCAAACTTGTAATCAGGGTGTAAGTGGAGCCCTTGGGTGTGGAGCGCATATACCAACTGTTCAGTCACGTGTGATATCGGCACAAAAAGTAGAGTCCGCACCAGGGTCAGATTACCAGCAGCCTCAGGCAGATGTGCAGGCAACTCACAAGAGACCTTTACCGAAAAGTGTGATAACCCACCTTGTGGTAAGTTCTTCAAACGTTTTTCAAGAAATTGCTCTTACCTTAATAGAATAAATGTTGCGTTCATACTATTATCATTGTATACCGTTCCAGGGTTTACGCACAGTTCCTTCTTAATATTGGGTATATTTGTGCTCTGTGGGCTCAAATACAGAAACACAACTCGACACCGAAATGAGCCAAATATTTATTTAATATATATCAATTATTACTAGTTACTCGTCGGAAGTAATTATTTTGTTTTTTCATTTAATAATGCAGGGGTGGGATGCATCTATTACAACAATGATAGATTTTACGAGTAAAATGATGAGAAAATGTATTGGCTAGTCATTGACTATGACCCATATCAGTGTTGTCTTCATATTGAAATTATGATTTATCCACACATTTTTATGCTCATCCATAAATCTAATTTTTCAATGAGTAGATATTTTATATGATGAGAAAATGTATTGGCTAGTCATTGACTATGACGTTGTGTACGGAGAATAGTATACATAATATATAATATACAGTATATAACTTTGATCGAGTTTAGAGACTTTGAAACTGAAATATTTTTTATATCTTCATTATTTTGTTTTAGATGAATGTAGTAGTGTTTTGTGTCCCGTCGTGGATTGCAAGTATGGCTACGTGACTAAAAGTTGTTGCCGAGTCTGTGAACCAAGTTAGTTGATCATATGTTCTACATTGTATAGTGGAATATTCAATGATTTAAAAGTTTCAATTATCATTAAAAAATGGCGGGAACTTTGAATATTTCAGAAATGAAAAGCTGACAACCATCTCTGAAATAACTTTTAAAGTCATAAATATAGTCAATGAATGATAAAATATATTTTCAAACTTCATATGGGGCCTTTAGAGCATTCAATTTACAATATTTTGGGTTCCTACTCCTAATTTTACATATAAAGATGAATAAACTATTATTGTTTTTTAGATCCAATGCCGGTCGGGATCCCACATCCGTAAGTACGTTTGTGTCTAATGCTTATTTCCAAAGGAGTGGTATCGATATGGAGTACTGAATTCAAAAATGTTTTTCTCTTAAACAAATCATTGAAAACATTCTGTAAAAAACACGGTATTTTATGTAATGTTGACTGATTGACAACAATTTAATGCGAAAAATATTTAGAAATATTTTATATAACTGTTTTTAGTGCAATAGCTTTTGCTCCTTTCTACCAATTCTTGAGAATGAAATAAAATGTCTTTCCGAACCTTGTTGAAACAAAATAGCATATACAACATGTTTTAGGCCTCTCAATATTGTAGTCATACAAAGGAATTTTTGGTTCATTTTAAAAACGTATTCAAAAAATTAAAACAACACCCCCCCAAATAGATAAAAATCAAGATAAACCTTTTATTCCATAACAAGATACTTTTTTAAAATCAACCAAAATTTCCTTTGTACAATTACAATATTGAATGACCTTACCATGTAATGTTTATGTCGTTTTGTTCCAATGAGGTTCGGAAAGATGTTCCATTTCACTCTGGAAACATGATACCAAGAACAAAACAACTGTTTGATGTGTTTTCTAAAACAATATAGATGAAAGTATATATAATATATTTCAAATTATATTGTTACCATTCAAAAGATGACCATTAAATTGACGATGTGTTAAATTTTCTTTATGAATGGTTTAAGAGAAACGTGTGTTCAAAAAGTTCTCCATATCGATACCACGCCTTTGCTTCTAAAGGGCTCACCATAAATAAATGACCCCTGGATTTTCTATCGCCATTTCCAGACCATGGTGATTTGAGACTTCATACTTTTCAATAATGTCTAGATGCACATCCCTTAAGTTTTGTATTTTTTTACATTTTGTATACTCTCATCAACTGATGTATAGCCTCTTGAAAACTATCTTCTTTTTAACATGGAAAATCTTCACTTCAGCAAATCCAGATGTCAATTAATAATGGCGAGCACTGTAGTTAGTTTATTTAGTCCATAAACATTCACTTCCATTTTAATCACATGTTTTACATCACACTCAAATGTGATACATTCGTTGATACTTTTAAGTATCTCAATGAATACATTAAATGGATTCAGCCATTCTGTGTTAGTAAACTAATATAAAAAAATAGCTTTACAACGCTTCTCGTAATTGATAATATTTTCAATGAATATTTCAAATGCTCGATGAATTTATATTATACTGTAAATCGATTTAAAATATCACTGTGCATAACCCAAAAACGCTCCTACATTCATTTCGGGGGCATTTCATTACTGAATCCAAACAATGAAATGTTCCGGAATAAGAAACTAGCGGGTGGAAATGACCACTCATCCAACGATTTCGATAATAATAGGAATAAGAGGTGTATGTTACTTGTTTCGTGTATACCATTCGATGGGTGTGATATCCATGTTTTACTTGGCTGACTGTTGACGTTTGAATTCGAAGTAATTTGAAAGAGCTGTACGAAGCAGTATAATTATCAAATTTCAAAAAAGGATTTGTCATTCTAAAGGTAAAAAACGTTTGTTGATTCATATGATAAGTTGAGTCAAAATAAAAGCATCAAAGTAAACAAACATATAAGATACCATACAGTATCGTAATTGTATCGTAATTAAAAATATCCGAAAATCTCGTCTAAAATGATGACATACCAAAATTCAAGAAACGCTGCGGTCAGAACAAGTAATAGGTTTGGAATAGAATTTCAACAAATGAGAATATACACATGTGCTAGTTTGGGATCTACTAATTTGATAGAAAGCTTGACGTTTTAATATAGATACTACTTCAATTCGCAATATAAGCTCAATTCATCAACTATAGACTCGTTCGGTCTACATTATTATTTTTATTTTTTTCTTATTTCCTTCATATAACACTAAATCAAAATACAAATTATTTACAGTGGACACCTAAAATAGGTGTATATACTGCTTGATTAAACATAAATTGAATATAATAATAGTGTAAATAAAATAAATAAGTATAAATAAGAGTACATTAATAGTTGTTGGTTTGGAGCAAGGGGGAGTGACAGTAAAATGAAGTATGATAGCATGGTGGTAATCTTAGGACAAATACTGCTGGAGATGATGAATTGTAATTAAATGCCTTTAAGACCCAGATTGATATATTTGGTGATATAGAGTCTAGTTTAAAGAAATTTAATCTATCAAATACCTTTTGTATCTCATCTTAAAAATATTAAAAGAAGAACTTTCTCTTATTGGCCTTTCAATACTGTTCCATATCCACTGACCTTGAATCTTTATAGAAAAAATCCTACTTTGGTGTTATATCCAAAAGCATGTAAATCCTGGCAATGGCGAGTATGATAATTGTGAATGTCAACATTTATTTGGAAAAAGTCACAAAAAGTTGTGGAAACACTGTTAATCGGTTGTACCATTTGTACACAAATTGACCGACATTAAAAAGGTGGATAAAAGGTGGTAAATATCCAAAACTTTGAATTGTTTAAAAAATGGAGCTGTATGGGCTCTTCTATCTTTGAAAGCAAGCAGTCTCAAAAAGCTTTTTTGAATTTTAAAAATTTTATCAAGTGCAGTTTTATAATTGCTTCCCCATATTATAATACAATAGTTGAGATAAGAGTATATCAATGAGTTGAAGATTGCCAACATACTTGGTACATATTTTTATAGATATCTGCATTTGTCTAGAATTCCAATTGTACAAGATAATTTTGTTTCAAGATTTTTAATATGTTGTTTCCAGTCAAGATATTCATCAATTTGAACACCAAGAAAGTTGGTTTAACCCTTTCAAGGTTGATATTATTAATTTTTATATTCACATTTTCATTAATTTGCTTTTTGTTCTTTGTGAAAATTATGTATTTGGTTTTATCATTGTTGAGTGATAGTTTATTTGATCGAAACCAATCATCCAGGGATAAAAGTTCCCGATTAAGGTAATTGACAAGTAGGTCTACATTAGAGTTATGCGCAAGAATGTTAGTATCATCAGCAAATAAAACTGATTTCAAAGTGGGAGATGCCAAATACATATTATTTATGTATAAGATAGATAAAAGTGGCCCTAGAACCGATTCTTGGGGTATTCCATGAGATATTGATTTAACTTTAGATGAAATTCCATTGTAAAACACCACTTGTTCTCGATTGGCTAAATATAATTTGAAAAAATTGAAGGAGTTATCTCGTATCCTATAAAATTCTAATATATTATTATGGAGATTTGATCTAGCAAATAACAGTTTACGACCAGAACTTGATAAGATCTTTGTTCAGGGTAATGTTCATCGAATGGTGCATAATATGTCACCATAACGTATGACATATACGAGAAATCAGTGAAATTATACTACAGAACCCATTGTTGGATATTCATGACCCACCATTTCATTTTGCTCCATAGAGTTTTAAAGTGAATGAAACGCTGTCCTGGTTGAATGTAGGAGTGTTTGAGCTGTGCACCGTGAATATATATTTAGGCATAATAAAATGTGTCAAAATATATTTAAGTTTGGATATTTCATCGAGACTAACATGTATTTTCATTATCTCCAAAGAAACCCCTTGGATGAATATTATTTCAGCTGGACTCCCTTTATAGAAGCTTTGAACTGAATTTTAATTCTTAATTTTAATTAACTTTTTTAATGCTGACATTGATAGTTTTTCTATACATTTTAAGAAAATAGGTATGTTAAAGAAGATGTTAAGACAAATGTTGCCCTAATAGCTGAGAAAAAGTAAAACATTTCGAATTTTCTCTCTACAGGCCTTGTTGCCCCTTTAACACATAATTTAATTCTATTAATACCTACTTTTGAAAACTGCATGGTGTAGTATTCTTATTTTATTAATATCCTCTAGCACAATATCTCATTTGCCTCCCACTTCATTCTCTTCCTCTTGAACCCTTTTTACCGTTATACAAACATGTACATACATTTTCATTTTTAGTGGCTCCGGATAGAACCCGACACAACAATAAGGGAAGGATTGGTTTTCCGGATGAATGACACGATACTCATTCCGTATTTTAATATCAATAATATCTGTGGAAATATAAAAAAGCATGACATTATATTTTGTTTTGTCAAATAAGTAACTTGCCAGATCAAGTGAAGTTGTACCAAATTGTGTAAGATATTATCGTATGATCTGTAAAATGAAGCCCTCTGATTGGTCAGTTCTTGCGCTGTACCAATTTGTATTGCTACTGAGGTTGTCCCCGTTGATCATCTCCGTCGCAATACAGAAATATTGGTACGGAGGGGATAATCTCAGTAGCAATACAGAGGATCACACGATAAAAAACGTTATTGAATGATGATTTGAAGTGCAATACATGATATATTCTGTCTCGATATTCTGTATTGGCACTCGACTTCGTCTCGTTCCAATACAAAATTTCTCGATCAGAATATATCCTTTATTGCACTTAAAATCATTCAATAACTTATAGTATTCCCCTCAATAAAATACAATTTTCTCATGTATCATGTTAGTTATATAAAACATATTAGACGGAAAATAAAGGAAACCTTCATATTGTTGCTACCGTGAGAAATAGATGCCGATAGCTGTTTCGAAATATAGTTTATTGGTTTATTGAAGAAAACTTTGTTTATAGTTATTACCAGTTCTAATTTAGTTGATTCTGTGGTAAGTACTACAAATGCAATGAAACACCATCTTCAATCAATACAATTGATTAAGAATTTAAAGTAAAAATAAAAGATTTGCGATGGTCTAATCTTTTTTATATATACGAGTATATGTGGTTTAAACCTAGGTAGCCAGAATATATTTTCCATCGAACTCCTACAGCTAAAATGTAATTATCTATAGTGTGTTAAGCCCAGCAGAACGGAATTGAACCTCTATTAAAGGATACCGGTATTTCCGAAATTCAATCCCGATTGGTACACGACTTCATTGACTATATTTTAAAAAGTTGTAATTCTTATTTGTAGAAAACGTGTAACAATTTTGTGAGACACATTGCTTATATTTTAATTTGAGATACATTAACATATCTTTATGATATGACAATGCTAACATCAATATTGAAGCCACTCTTTACATCAATTTTCATTTTATCTCGTTTCAACATAGGTTTACATTCAGCTCGAAACATAAACATAAGGCGATAACTAAAGACATTTAGAAATAGTAAATCATGCATGGTTTCCATATGCTTAAAATCTTCAAAGTTCAGAAAGTCACTGACAATGATAGTAGAACCTTGAATGAATTCAATGTCTCTCGTTTAAAGTGCAGTATCATATGCCGACACAACAGTTAGCGTCGGTGCGTGGCGGTCCCAACAGGTATCTACCCCATCGCATTTTGCTATGAAGTAGGTTGGTGGGTTTGAGTGGTAGGAGATCGTCAGTTGGTGCTGGTGGCCGTTGTCTTGACTTGTGAACACATCCACTGACTGCCCATTCCGGACGTTTTGGGCCTTAAATATACAAAGAAACAAATAATAAAAATCTAAATACGGTCAAACAAACAAAGATCTTTAGAAACAAATTTGTTGTTTGGCTGTGTCTATGTGTCCCTTGTCAGTTCATTGTATTTTGTTGAGCCAGGGCCAATTTGCCTATATGCTGCCCCTGGAGGTGTTGCTATTGCAAAATGCACACCATCGTTAATTGCTTACCTGTTGTTCGGTCAAGGTCACTATATGACTATGTGGTCCTGGTGGATCACTGGTCGTATAAGCCACTTGTAGCGTAAGATCTCCATCAGCAGGTGGCACCACATTACCTCCATCCGGGTACATATGGCGGAACTTTTGTGGATTAAACAAAATGTCCTTGATTGCTTCAAGTTCTTTCCAAACTGCACTTCCTTCTCCATGCACAGGCATTATGGGCAAACGTTGCCGCAACGTTCCGACGCCAGGAATATTGGGAAAGAATATACGCATCCCTGATGCTCTAACAGCTCGGACCACGCCTTGTTTGTCCAATACACCTAATATGGGAAATAAACACTTGTTATTGTGCCCACAAGTATTTGCTGGCACCTGGTACCATGCACAAGGAATACACAAGCAATGCATTCAGGCAGCCTATGTTGCATAATTATATAGTGTTTCATTTACAATACGACTGTATACAACGAAAGGATTTCATTTTTTGTGTTTTTATAAATAAGTAATTGCATGCAAGTTTTCAACTGAGGCCGTCAGTTATTAGCAAGGTTCATAAGTACTGCAACTATCAAATTGCCTCGTCGCCGGGCATTAAACATTATTGCAAATAGGTACGAACCTGCAGATCCCTTCGCAGTATCCGCTGGGTCTTTGCCTATTGTATCTCCAGTGAAAAACTCCTGTGGAGTAAGATAATACACCTTGCTGTTGGTTCCGTTATACGCCTTATTAAGTGCAGTGCCGCCATTTCTTCCACCTGCTTCTACCGTTCTTCCGTAGGGGGTCCATGCATTCCCCTTGTATTCGAGGTCATAAGGATTCCACGCGTTAAGGGGAGTCAGGTAGATAATTTCAAGAGGAATGGCGTAGCTCCAGCGCTGGTTGTAGTGGTTACATGTGCTATAAAACATCATAAGGTTAATGCCACCTTTTAAGATAACTTTTAAAATTACGTAATCTTGATGTTAATAACAAGATATTGGTAAACACGCCAGAAATTAACATTATATTATTCAAAGCGTCATAAGAACATTTTCAATCTGCCATTTTTCGATTTTGACTAATCAGAGACGTGGGTCATCTCAATATAGGTTTACATTATAAGCGTACGTCATCTTTGAACTCTGGGGTTAATCCCCCTGTGCCCTGATAATACCAAGGAACTCCCACGCTTGAAATTACTTACATTTTTCCCAAATGTGCTGTACATTCGTCATCAAGCTCCATAGAGGCAACCTTTGACTGGTTTGTCATTGCCATAAATACGGTACTATCAGAATAACCACGCGAACGCACCTGGAATCAAATAATTGGAACCAATGTCAACTGATAAAATGATGCATGGAAACGACTTAATGAACTATACTTAAAAGTGCAAAGTTTATACTCACACCGATATTTTAAAGTATAGTGTATAAAACAACACAAAAACGGATGCGGTATACACTCACCAACATACTCACGACAACGCTGATATGGTGTAATATATACAAAAGTATGATGACTGATATTCACCATGAATTTTCGCCAAAAATGAAATTTATTTTGAATTTAACAAAAATTGATGCAACTTCCTTCAAAATTGAGCTACTTTCAAATACAATTTTAAAGCTATTTTCTTCTTCTTTCTCATGATTTTATTTTCTATGGTTATGGTGGCACCCATCGCACCTCCCCCCTCTGGCTACGCCTATGAAGTATAAAATATATACTCACTCAGCAATTGCCAAAATCAAGTGTATACTCAAATCACTACTTGATTAAAAGTATGAAGTTTATTCTCATATAATACCTATAAATAAATATGAAGTAGATACTCACACCAACACCCATAGCGTCGTTTACAGAAGTTTTGTACCATCTGTGGTAGAATCCTGCATTGATTGGTCCAGATCCAGTTTCCATCCCCTCAGCGGGTATGCCAAAGGCATTATCTTCAAGATCGGCCATGTAGTTGTCCCTGCCAGGGATCTCAGACATTAGCTGGTCAAGTAAACCAGTTCGCCGCCAAAACACCTGGATGTAAAGGGTATCTTTCACGAGCAAAGTACAACTTGATACAACGTCGCAGAGGACTCAAGGGTACGAATGTAATCATCTACGAAGACCTGAGCCCTGGGAATAGAAAACTACTATACGACCTAAAACAAAACCCTGAGATAGATCAGGCATGGAGCGCCAATGGCAAAATCCTAGGTCGACTGAAGAGAGGTGATATAGCAAACTTCACAGTGACCAGTGACATTGACTCTGTCATCCAAGCCAGGCTGAGGGTACCTAGGGATCGCAATGCCAGATCAAATCCGACAAATGAGCCCTCGTTAACTGTAAGTAATGCACCTGTTGCAGGTAGTTCATCATAGACTCCTGTTACTATTATCATATGAAGTCTGCAAGACTACAAACTGTGACCTAAAACTACACGATTGTGTAATCAGTGCATCGTGAAATGGACAGTCTTAATGAACCCTAGTTACTCTGTCCTCGACTGCTAGTATCTGCCTTATTACTTGCTAAATCTGTGTCAGTGAAATTGTCGAAACACTATATTATTCAGTTTTATATTCTATTTTTACGAAATATTTGTATAGCACCCTATTTTCCAGCTCTAATCATAACCCTTTTGGTGCAAATTCTTTTGCATCTTTGTTTACATTTTACGCGGACGTCAGAGAAACACTGTTGACAAACTCTGCGCATGCGCGGATATTTACAGCTGATTTCTTCCTGAAGTTTAGACACGAATTTGAAATCTGGTAAAATGTGTACGATTTATACAACCCAGAGACTCCCAATAACATATAGAGGCTACACGACATATAGTTCAGGTATTTAACTTTTTACTTAACTTATTCTGGGTCAAACAATAAAGGACTGTCTAAGTTATTTGCAAAAAATGAGGCACTGTGTAAGAGCAATCCGTAGTGTATTTTCAGTCTTCACTGCACATATAAATCAAGATCGTAATACTCATGTATTTGTGCCTTTACTACGCTACAATGCTAATTTTAGCCCTTTGAGTTTTCACTGGATATTGCTTGGCCCAGAATAAAGTCGATACACCGTTTAGTGCATGTAATGAAAAGCCAATAAGATTGTACAGCCTCAAGAAGCGTCAATTTCTAAAATATAGCCTATTTAGGCCTATACGTAAACAAACTGGCCACATAACTTGAAGCTGGGTCTCACGCACTACTGTTTTTACATGTATGTAACATGAATGCTAATAGTGTAATAATGTTATACGTCCAGTAGGCACTTAGTACACGGGCAGTTATATAGGTGTCTTACTAGTCTTAGCTTATATCATGATGTATTCATATGTGGCCAGTAGGGGACTGAACAGTGTGTACATGAACATCAAATATGTTCATTCTATTTTTGCTCTCTCTTTTACCCATTTTGTTATTATATACCTACAACTGTATTTATCTGGACATGTTTTTGTTTTTTGTTTTTTCTGGAGAACAACAGGTAAAATTGTTACTTTGTAAAATAAGTTAAACACAGTGTATGACAGTTCAGAGGTACTCATTATTACAGTGTAAATATGAATATATTTTACTTAACTAAGTGGACCTTTACCTGAATTTTTTGCATATTTCTTGCTTTTATTTTAACTGGATCTCAGAGGCAGACACTGTTGAAATATATAGATGTCTAAATTCCCATCAAACTATATGGACTCTTTTAAATTGAGGTGCAGCTACATGTAGTGTTAACATTAATCAGAATATTCTTGCAAATATGTATACCTCAAATATGTTTTATTATCCATGTCAAGTCCCCCAAATGTTTCTTTAAATATTTCTATTCTCATTAAATGATACGGACTATTTAAAGAGAGAATCAGATCTAGCGTGCAGCCCAACAAAAAATTGTCTCAATTTTAGAATATTTCTGGCTCATGCCATTCCTTCTCATGTCTCTTTTCTTAAAATCATCAAGGTGCATACTTCATTTCTGGAAAATTAAAGAGATCTACAATAACGTATTATATTTCAATAAGAATGGCTACCATTCTTATCATTTGGGAGAATTTCAACATTTCTCACCCTTTTTTTGCACTTTGAATCCATTATAACTTCACAAATTGATAACATGGCATGAATCTTTTGGAAGATATTGTATTTGACATTGTAAGGATTAGACTGGTAGGTCAATTGTGCACATTGCCTATCATTTTGTCACCCCTATAGACCTGATTCTGCCTTTAAAGCACAATGTAGTAAACCCCTGTAAACAGGAACTTTAAACTACTGTATAGCTTGGTCAATATGATTAACCTTCATAAAATGTAATATGGATATTTTGATCTGTGTTCCATGTTTCCAATTAAAACCTTTTTTAGGAACCCTATATTATACATATGATTGGGATATTCATTTATTTTATTGTAATTAAGAACTACTGTATATAGTATTACTGATACTTGAATCTTCTAATTGACTCAATCCCCCTGTGAATGGGTGAGTCTGATCACTTAGGCTTACACCCCAGTCTAGTTTAAACTTGAGTTATTTTTTTTGTCTTCTCATAAATCTTGAATATGCATCTAAATTAGATGCTCTTCTATATTACTGCAATTGTGTAATAGTACTGCTATATAAATCAGAAAAATCAAATGTACTCTATTTATACTGCTGCCCTTTCAGGATAGCTCTTCAAAGTCAGACAGTAGTTAGCTATGATTAAAACATCCAAGGTGTTGGTGGTGCCTGGGGAGGGGGCTTGGCTTGGGAAACAAGGTATAGGATAGATAGTATTATGCAATGGAGGGCTGCTATTGGCTTATTTAACTATGGTAGCAAATCAATTAAAAAATACTTTAAAGTTACTTCTAAGGATGGAAGAACTATATACCCTTATCCCATTTTAACCATTTTACTCATGGTCACAACCCTGATTTTCATGTACAAGATGAACTTTGGATTAGAACTCATATTTGCATCCATCTTAGGATTTTTCCTAATCACATACTCGATAGTAACTATTGTTTTACTACCACTAGTTTGTTTATACATAATTAAACTCCAAGTGAAGTCACCTTTTAGCCCCTATACCACCATATTATTCCTAAAACTGCTGCTAAGCTCCTTAGTTATACCAGGGCTACTGACCCTTACATTTACACCAAACGTGACATCAATTCTTCTTCTAATGTCAGGAGATGTGCATCCTAATCCAGGCCAAAATGAAAAACTAACACTTCTGCTTTCAAATATAAATAGTATAACTGCAAATGAAGGTGCAAGGTTTGAATTATTGAAGCGACGAGCAAGGGAAATTAATCCAGCTGTAATCAGCCTCTGTGAGACTGGTATTTCTAAACTCAAAATGGAATCCGGAGACTTTGACATCGAGGACTATAATTCTATTTATAATGAATCAGGTAGAGGTTTAATTATGTATATACACAAAACTTTGGCATCTAAACCATTACACCAAGACTTTTATGTTAAAGGTACTGAAATTCTTTTTTCTGAAATTAAGATACAGCAGAAAAGACTACTGCTAGGTGTATGTTATAGATCACCCAGCCTTAATGCTAAAGAAACAAAAGAATATTTCTCATTATTTAAGCAACAATTATCCAAAATTGAAAATTCTGTTCCAAAATTTGACCATGTAGTCATGATGGGAGATTTAAATGCCAAAAATTCTGAATGGTTTGACAACCAGGATGACAACTTAGCAGGAAAAATATTACTTGATTACCTTGATGAATATAATTATACCCAATTAGTGACCCAACCAACAAGAATCACTAAACAGTCTAAAACCTGCATTGACCATATAATAACTGATTCTCCTGATATCTTTGACTCCTGGGAAGTAACTGACCCAATCGGTAAATCTGATCATTGTACAATTTCCTCTAATATAAATATCATAACACACAAAATCAAGCCAATCAAAAGGACAATCTGGAAATATAATGAAACCAATATTGAACAATTAAACTCTGAAATCAGAAACTTTAACTGGATGACTATCATAGATGGTGACCTAGATATGAATACAGTAACCACAAATTTTGTTGATAAACTAATGTCCATTTACAAAAAACACATACCTCATAAAATCATCAAACTTAAATACAATGACCAACCCTGGTTTAATAACTTTCTTCAATTGGAAATGAAAAAGAAAAAAAAGCTCTTCAATTCAATGAAAAAACATCCTACTTATCAAAATAAAATACTTTATGATCAGCAAGCAACAAAAGTTACAAATTTAATTAAAAAAACCAAACTTGACCATGACCAAAATCTAATCAAATCTATTGATAATATGACCAAGAATGATAAGAATTACTGGAAAATTATTAGATCTTTCCTTGGAAACAATTTTAAGAAATCAGAAATAGCATGCATTATAGATGACAGAACTGGTATCCCAATTAATAAAAACCTGGACATAGCCAATTCTTTTATGAAATATTTTTCTGGTAAAAATCACATGGAGATCAACAACAACGACACACTACCAAACTTTCCATCGAGAACAAATTCCTTCATTATATCTGCAATTACCAACCAACATGAGATAATGAAACTTATACTTAACCTAGATACTTCAAAAACATGCGGTCCTGATAACATAACGAATAAAATGTTAAACTTAACAGCCCATACACTTTCAAAACCACTCTCTAAATTATTCAATAAGCTTTTGACAAAAAATATTTTCCCGGAAACATGGAAAATTGGTAGTGTCTGTCCAATTTTTAAAAAAGATGATAAGACAAATATAAAAAATTATAGACCAATTATGCTCCTAAATACCCTATCAAAGCTCTTTGAAAAAGTTCTTGCTGATCGAATTAAAAAACATCTTATACAAAATGATTTACTTTTTAAACATCAATCTGGTTTCCTGCCTGGCCACAGTACACACTCTCAACTTTTAGCTATTGAGCACTACCTGCAATGCACTTTCGAGGAAGGCAAAGCCTCTAAATCAATATTCCTTGATATTTCGGCCGCTTTTGATTGCGTACCACATAATCTTCTATTGCTTAAACTTAAATCTTACGGTATCCAAGGCCAACTGCTCAATGTACTCAAATCCTATCTGAATGACAGAAAATTCTTTGTTAATGTAGGTGGCGAATCTTCAAAACTTTCTGATACTAATTTTATTAACTGTGGCGTCCCACAGGGGTCTATTCTAGGGCCTATTCTATTTATCTTGTACATTAATGATATTCCTGACAACCTGGGTGGCCAGTGCTACATCTATGCTGATGATACCTCTTTACATTTTAAACTTGATCCAAAAGACCCCACTAATGTTGATGATTCTGTTAAGTCAAGCCTAGAAAGCATTGAACAATGGTCAACTACTTGGAAACTACAGTTTAAACCAGAAAAAAGTCATGAACTGATATTTCATAAACCTAGAACACGTATTAATGATATCAGTCCATCTAATCTTAATAATATGGAAATAGTTAGAGGTGATTCCCATAAACACCTCGGTTTCACGTTTGATCCCTGCTTAACACACAAGCACCATATAAGTAACATCTATGATAACGTAACAAAAATGTTGAATCCATTTAAAAAACTCAAAAACAAAATAGGATCTAGTCATTTGGAGACAATCTTCAACTCCTTCATATTGCCCCATTTTGATTATGGTACCATCATTTACAATAGTTCTTCCAAATATCTACTTAAAAGGCTCGATAGATTATATTATAAAGCTGCTATCTACTGCTCAGGTTGTATTCACGGGAGCAGCACAGATAAAGTACTAACGCTACTTCAATGGCCATCTCTTGACACTAGAAGAAAAATGTTTATAAACAACTTTATGTACAAAATAGTACATGGTCCTAACCCTAAATTTCTTGATGACATATTTGATAAATTCAAAAAACCAGAAACTCGAAACTTGCGTAACACTGATGAGTTCATTATACCAAAATGCTCTGAACGGTACAGAAATTCAGCGGTACCCTCTGCAATCTCCAACTGGTTAGCCCTGCCAAATACATTAAAGAGTAAAGCTACTATCCAGAATTTCAAGAAACATCAAAAACTGCTTTTCAAAAATCCAATAAATGTCATCACAACCAGCAAACTGAACCTCACAAGGAGCCATGAGATAATAGTAAATAAATTCAGGGCCGACTTTTTATTTAAGGCCCAACTATATGCTCATAACTTTAGCAATATTGACAACCCTAACTGTTCATGTGGACATCCACAAACAGTTAAACACTTCTTTTTCCACTGTGCTCATTTGACACATGCCAGGGATGAATTTAATCAATACCTGAAAAACCTGATCCCTGAAATTTTTGACAGGCAAATCTCTCAGCATAAATATCTTGAAGTTCTGAAATATGGCTCAACTGAAATCACTATCGAACTTAATTCGAAAATGATGACCAGGCTAGCTTCCTTTATAAAAGCCAATATATGATTTTCCCTCCTTAAACATATTTTATCTCCAGTAACTGTTCCCCACGCCAAGCACCCCCCCCCCCACACACAACCCCAAAACTACTGTTAACATTGCTCCTTATATTATATTTCATTAAGTTCCATCAATTCTTCTATAATGCCATGCATGTATTTGGCGATTGAAGATTTTGTAAATGTTATGTAATGAATGAGGATAATTAATAAATAAATAAATAAAAAAAAAAAAAAAGCAAAGTACAAAGGGAACTGAAGAAAATTGATACATACCCATCTCTTGATAAAATAAATCCCTCCCCATTGCAATATAGAGAAGAGCAAGTCTTTTAATTTTCATTTGGGACTAGTCGTTCTGGAATAGTACAATAATCTCTCTTTACCACCTCGTGTAAAATACATTAATTAATTAATTACGTCTAATGCAAACACAACCGGAACCGGCTAAATGTACGAATCGAAATAGCAAGTGTTCACATTTTAACATGTGAGTATATTGGAGATAACATATTTCAACCAAGATACTGTTCACGGAGAGATATGTTCAGATTAGTGAGGCCTTCAGACATACAGGTTTTACTGTATCAATACTTTGTGCTTACAACATCGTCTCTCCAAGTGTTCTCGTCCCACTGATTCAGTTCAAAACGAGCAGCTCTTGTCATAGCGTGTTGTGCCGTTGTTTTCTTGAAGGCCATTCGAGAAGCTACATCATCCACCATTCGAAACCTTCAATAGAATGAAGAACATGATTTTGTTTTAT